AAACGCATGCAACTCGTTGAGCCCGTGTCGTCTAGACTGCGCATAATTCTAGTAATTGGCCACATTGAAGCATTGACACGATTTGTGCAAAGGTGACACCGATTACTTTGTACGCCCAATGTCGAGCTATAGATCGAGTCTTAGATATCTGAGCGAGGTCGACATGGATCAACGAGGTAGATCGACAATCGCGCGCAAGAAGCGAGGAAACCATCGACATGTCGTGTGGTTGAGGTCGTTCTGTACGAGGTTGATGGGCCATGCACGCGTACAAAGATAAGGCCACGACCTATCTATATGCGAGAAGACTCGAGGCGCACAAGACCCACGACGGCAACCCGTTTCTTGGGCAAAGTCCGAAGCATGCGTGTCATGGAGAAAAACACGTGATATATCACTCTCTTGGCAATGTGTTGTTTGGATGTAGCGAGGAGGTCATGCAACTACATTGCGGCCAAACTCGTGCAACGCTGTCGCCAAGTAGAAGGAGCGAGAGCCGTCCTTGTGGCATCTACCTCGGTCGCCCCGTTCGGAGCACCCAGCCAGCAATGCGTCGACACATGCATGGGCTGCTGAGCAAGGGGTAGGGTTTCTGTCCAGCGCACAGCTGATCATCTACAACCGGATCCATCCTTCGACTTGATACCGTGATGTGCTGCTTCGGATCGTCGAGTTGGCGTGGACGAGGTTGTCCACAATGTCGCCGTCGTGAGTACTTGATGATGCCGGTATCAGCTGGGCCAGGCGCAGCGCAAACAACGGACCACCGGCCGAGTTGGAAAGGCAGCTGCTCAGGTGGCTCGTGATGGCGCTCGTACGTCTGCGGCGGGCGATTGGCATCATGCTGGAGGTACAGTCGCCGAGGGTCGGAGCGTGTCGGCGTAAGGGAGAAGCGGCGGCCTTGCAGCATCTTGTCGACGAGCGCGTCACTGCCCGGCGCACAGCGCGACGGCGCAATCGCGAGCTGCTCGGCAAAGTTGTTGTTGAAGTGGGTCGTCTGCTCGGCAACGTCGCTGGGGATCTCGATGGGCAAACCTCTTATTTTCGGCACTACCCTGTTCAAATTCGGCATCTCATACCGAACGGTGCTGTAAGCCGCATTGATAAGAGCCGAGGATCGTGCGATCGGCGCCTCAGCCCGCACGATACATGTGTACATTGCGCGGCCATCCAAGAAGCTCGACTTTGGCACCAGCTCTACCAGCTGCGCTGTGCAGATTAGCGCGAAGAAACGTCAAAACGCTATTGTATCTTTACGGCTGCATGATGCTTGGCGACCTCGACAAGTCGCGCTGGCTACGCCCCGGAAGGGCGATGAGCAGCCACAGCCAGCATCTGTTTGAATATAGAGACCTTGCCACATCTGAGGTATTGGACTACAACGGTCGATGAAGGGCATTTGGTGGTCGCTGGGTCCATCGATGCTCCCGCAAAAGATTTGGTTTTGTGAGCAAACGCCAAGGGTCAGCTTCATTGCACAAAGCAATGAATGGAGCATTGACAGTCCCATCGGCAGTTGTATGTGAAAAGGCAACTGCGGCCCCGGTCCTGTATTTTCCAGTGTGAACGACAGAACATCGCGTTGTCGCTTGAAGAAGCACGGGGCATGGGGCATAGACAACTTTGATTTCTCACAGGCTTGGTTCCGGTTTCGTTTCATTTCAGGATGTTGATACGACGTGTGCATCAGGATAGCACCACTGGGTTCAACACGTCAAGTACGTGTGTGCTGCAGCAGTACAAGCTACGTACACGGCGGCAGACAATGTATTGACAATGAGAGACTCATAGCGCCGCATACTTTAGCGCTACATCAACATCTACACGCGTGAGGTTGTTGGCGCCAGCACTTGGCCGTTGGGAGTAAGCTGGACGCAGAGATCCATCTCTCAGCAGCCCCACTTGCCGAGAAAACGCAGTGCGTTGTATCAAGTACGGGATGCTACCTCCAACGAGCCAGAGAAATCGATAGATTGGTCAACGGACCCAAACGAAGGAACTTGACGTCGCGGGAGAGAGACGTTATTGCAGCTCGGTGAAGTTGATTGTTTGCAGAGCTTCATTCATTTTTTCAAGCTGGTCGCCGCGAATGTTGGTCGTACCTGCCAAAACGAATATTACCCGTGCGAATGCATTCCTTGCCAGTATACCCATACAAAAATCAAGGTTTGGACCCTTCCACGCCCGTTAGGTCCTCTCAAATTGCATCTTTCCATTCTCCAATTCCCCATGTCCGAGTACGCGTACAGCAGCGAGGACGAGTACGACTACAACTCGGACGGCGACGACCTCGCGCAGGTCCCGGCCGCGCCCAGCGCCGAGTACACGGTCGTCAACACGGCCGACCTCCAGCGCGACCAGGACCTCCTCGTGGCCGAGGTCTCGGAGCTCCTCATGGTGTCGCCGGCGGTCGCGACCGTACTCCTCCGCTCGAACCAGTGGAGCAAGGAGGTGGTCCAGGACCGGTTCTACGAGCGCGAGACGCCCAAGGCCTTTCTCGAGGAAGTCGGGGCCCAACACCTCGACAACTACAAGATTGGCGCGCCGAAAGGCATCGTGTGCGAAGTCTGCCGCGACGACGTGCCGGGCCAGGACGTCATTGCGCTCGGCTGCGGCGCCATGTACTGCGTCGACTGCTGGAAAGGCTACTTGATGACCAAGCTCGAAGACGGGCCGTCGTGCCTCACAGCCACGTGCCTCGCGTACAAGTGCAACGAGCTCGTGCCGGACGCGCTTTTCCAGAAGCTCCTCGATGCGCCGAAGAAGAAGGAGCACGCCAAGTGGGCGCTCCGGTCCTTTGTCGATAAGAGCCAGAACATCAAGTGGTGCCCCGCGCCCGGGTGCCCGAACGCGATCAGTGGGTCGGGCGGCGACCTCTTTGTCGACTGCGCCTGTGGCTGCAAGTTTTGCCTCCGCTGCGGCGAAGAAGCCCACCCCGTCGTGACGTGCGACCAGCTCCGGATCTGGAAGGAAAAGTGCGCAAACGAGTCGGAGACGGCCAACTGGATGCTCGTCAACACGAAGAAGTGCCCGAACACCAAGTGCTCGGTGCGCATCGAGAAGAACCAGGGCTGCAACCACATGTCATGCAAGACGTGCCGCCACGAGTTTTGCTGGATCTGCATGGAGTCGTGGCAGTCGCATTTTTCCGGCGGCACGGCCAACTACAACTGCAACCGCTTCAACGCGACGGCGTCACAGGACTCGGACTTGTCACGGGCCAAGACAGAGCTCGAGCGCTACCTCTTTTACAGCACGCGGTACTTCAACCACGCCAAGGCCGAGACAATTTGCATCAAGGGCCGCGCGGACGCCGAGGCCAAGGTCGACGACCTCCAAGAAATGACAGTCGTCGACTTTCAGGCCGTGCTCAAGGCCATGGACCTTCTCATCAAGTGCCGGCGCATCCTCAAGTACACGTACGTGTACGGCTACTACCTCGACGGCAAGACGACGGCCGAGAAGCAGCTCTTCGAGTACCTCCAAGGCGAGGTCGAGTCGAACACGGAGGTGCTCACGGGCCTCACAGAGAAGCCGCTCGAGTCGATGGTCATTGCCGACATTATGAACTACACCAGCGTCACGGACAAGTTTATGACGCGCTTTGTCGAAGGCGTCGAAGAAGGTCTCTGTGGGTAATCCACGTCCCCACTCTATGTCCCCTCCACCTAATCTATCGCTTCTTTTATATACAAATCCGTTATTGCCCATCCCACCGAGTACAGTCCACATACGGGCTTGTCGACGCCACGGTTCGGATGCCTGCAGTAGGCAGTACTACCTCGTCACATGCGCAGCGAACGGCGCTAGTCCTCGTCACTGGCATGTACGCCGTCGCATTTCCTATCGAAGGTATCGCTTGCGGTGCTCGGACCTGTCGGCGTCGGTAGAGATAACGGAATTGTTGGTGCGTTAGAGACAGACGACCGACGTGATGTCCTTCATGAGGTTGTCCTGCTGCGCTCTCCACGCGTCAATGCTCTCTTGAAGGAACGCAGCGTTGGCTTGGAGCGGTCGATGGAACGCAGCCATGTTGGCTTGGTACACGGGCATCACGGGCGGGAATGGCATTCCGTCCGAACGCTTTGGCTTGGTGGACGACGCCTTCGCGGGCTTGGGTTGCTGCTGCTGCTTCTTGGCGACTTTGCCTTTTTGGTTCTCGACGAGCTCGGCGATCTGCTGCTGCACACGCTGACGAAAGATCTCGGCCAGCACCGTCTTGGTACTACTGCTCGGTGCATAGCCCGACTGCGGTTGCATCGCAGGCGGCGTTGCCATGACCATTGGTGGCGCCATTTCTCTCGCCGCCGTGAGCGGCCGCATCGGCGACATCATGTTCGCCCGAGGTAAAGTGGACGTCGTCGGCTCGACTGGTGGTGGGGCCAACGCAACGGGTGACGGCGCAGGTGGTGACAACGGAGCTGGCGTGGGCACGGTCGCTTCTACCGCCACGTTGGTCATGCGCAGCGATTTGCGATGCTTGGTGGGGGGCGACGGCGACCGCTCGGGCTGGGCGGCCTCTGTCTTGGCCTCGGCGACCTTGCGCTTACGAGGGCGCCCGCGCGAAGCTTCTTTCGCCACGTCAACCGTGCTCGCTTCCGCTTCGGCATCGTCTTCCGACGCACCGCTGTCCTTCTCGTGCGCAGTGTACTTGGGATTGATGGCAAAGAGGTGCGCCGCATTGATGTGGCTGCGCTTCATGCTCTTCTCGTCCTTCTTGGCGCTGGCGACGCGCGCGCCGTGCGGTGCGAATGCGGACTGCGCCACCCACGTGTCAAAGCGCTTGTGCCACCCGAGAAAATGCACGTGGACCTTTTGCGCGTCCACATCCACGTCAATGACCCGTGCTTCGCTCCACCGCCCCTTGTCATCCTAGATAGAGCAGACTCGCACTGGGCTCGAGCATGCTACAGATCGACGTACCCGCACGTCAGCGAGCATGCCCAGTGCCACGTATTTGGGTTCCCGCTCCTTGCGCGGCGACTTGACGTCGACCTTTTTGGCTCGTTTGGTTCGCACCGCGGGCTTGGCCGGCACGGTGGGCGGGCTCGCATGTCGCTTCGGCCGCGCCGCCGCCACCGCCGTTCGTCGCGTCATCCTACGTCATTGTCGTACGCAGGCTCTGTCGCAAGCGGCCACGTACCTCGTCCCGTCGCTCGAGGGCGATATCGTCGGCTGCATCTTCAAGCGTAAGAATAGGAAACTGATTGCGACGCTTCAGGTCCCAATCGTCCGGATACCAGGATTCTTCGAAGTCGACGTCCCCGATGCTATCGACACTCGAAGCTTTCACGCTCGTTTCTCCATAGCGTCCTACTACACTACAGCGAGTCTCGGTCGTTTGGCTCGATCGACGCTCTCTTCTACCCTCCCACCGACGCCTGCTTGAGGTGTGAGCTATCCTGCGCCGAGGATGGTTATCCGGATGGCAGCTCGGAGGTTTTCGATGATCTTTCGATGGATCTTTGCTTCTTCTATGGATCTGTGCTAGTCCGCGCCATGCACCTCGCGAAGACGCTGCCATGACGCTAGCCTCATCACCTAGAGCAGCTCGTCGATGGCACCTTGCAGCGTCCGCAGTGATGGTGGCGGCCGCCGTGCTGTGTGTGCAGGAGGCGCCTACTTCAACTTGACATCCGGAGCCGGATAATTTGAGCGTATCCGGTATGGCTGTTCTTGAGCGTCCATTTCCTGCATATCGCAGAGGCTGGTCGCGACCAAGATGATGGACAAGCTCAAGTGGCAGAAGCAGCGGCTGCTCGACGGCGAGCCGGGCTACAATGCGACGCCGGCGCAGCAAGATGACGCCTTGTCCTGCCCGTCGCTCAACCTCTCGTACAAGGAGCGACTCTTTGGCTGCCTTCTCTGCTTCCTCCTCGGCATGGTGCTCTCGCTGGGGTCGACCGTGCGCTTGGCGCAGCTCGTCCGTGGCCGGCCCGCGCCGTTTGCGATTTGCTACACACTCGGCAACGTCCTCTCGCTCTGCTGCACCATGTTCTTTGTCGGGCCCGTCGCGCAATGCAAGTCCATGTTTGATGCCAAGCGGCGCGTCTCGGCCGCGATCTATGTGGTCTTTATCGGCGTCACGCTCGCGCTCTGCTTCTCGCCGCACATACCGCATCGCGCCGGCCTCGTCTTGCTCTCGGTGCTCATCCAGTTTGGCGCGCTCTGGTGGTACACGCTCTCGTACATCCCGTACGCGCGCGCGGCCGTCGCCGGCGTCTTCAAGAAGTTTTGCTGTCAAGAGGACCAAGTGTAAACGTGTAAATATAGCGAGACTCGATGAGGACGTTGATCAGTTATTAATACGTCGCCATCATGGGCGATACCCGGCGGTGCTTTGCGCTCCTACTGCGGCAAGTCGAGCCCGACGATGTCTTTTCCGAGCTCCAGCGGCTCGACCACGACGATACGCGCTGCGTCAAAGCGCGGTACGCTCATCAACGCATGCTCGTGACGCTCGACGATGATACAGGCGCTTCATCAAGGTGCTGGACGGTCTCTTGGGCAACGACCACAGCGTGTACACGTCAATGCCATGTTGCTGTCGCCCTCGTGTCGACAATAATGGACTAGGGACTTGGCCGAGGTCGCGGATGCATTTGCTGCCAAGCACGACGAGGCGCTCGTCAACTATGTGGCCTTTTGCACGCAGCTCCAAGCCGCGATGGACGACGACCGCGACCATGAGGACGACGGCAAGAAGGCCGACTCGAGCAGCGCGTCCGAGCGCAATGCGACAACGTCCGAAGCGAGCTCGGCGCCGCGCCGCCACCGACGCAAGCGCAAGTCCAAGCCTGACATTACCAAGCGCGCGATCCGCGTCGACCCGCGCCTCGAGAAGCACCGCGTGCTCAAGGTATGTCGTGTGATCGCGAAGACATCATACTTATATTGATCGTGTACTAGAGCAGCATCCGCCACAAGGTGCTTCATGGCGCCAAGCACATGGCAACGTCCAAAGACGGCTTTGACGGCCTTCGCGACGTGCTCTGCCAGGCCGACGCGGACGGCAGTGGCCTTCTCTCAGAAGCCGCGTTTGTCGGTGCGTGCTCGTCTTGTAGGATGACGACGATGGTCGAGGTAGAGACGTTGCTAGAGCACATGAAGGCGCCATTGACCGCCAAGGAAATGGGGTACCTCACGACCAACCTCCGCCACCGCAAGCGGCCGAACGCTATCGACTACGAGCAGGTGCGGCGGTAGACGCACCTTTTCGCTAAGAGACGCGGGTAGATTGGTCTCTTTCTCTGCGTCGACAGCGAAGAAGAAGCGTCGACGTCCGGTGACGACAACGGCTTGCGTCGGCGGCAAAGCCTCGACGAACCGCACTTGGGCTCGGACATTTTGTCCGTAGAGCGCGACCTCCGCGCGCGTCTACTGCAGCGACTACCGCTCACGACAGAGAACGCGCTGGCGACGTGCAGCCATACGCGGCGGTCGATCTTTACCGGCGCTGAAAAATTTGTGGAAGCATGTGACGTCTTTGACCCGCTCTGCACGAATTCGCTCTCGGAAGAGGGTGCGTGGGACGCCTAATATTTGCCGCTGCATTCGTGTGTAGGGTATGCCAAGGCGCTCGACTACATCAACTTTAACGTATCGACCACGCAATTGCAAGCCATTTTGACCAAATTTCCCCGTGACACGCATTCGGGCGGCGTCAACTATGCTGTGTTTTTAGAGTACTTGTATATTTGCAGCGCGGGACTTCGACTCGATCGTGTAGGCGCTACGGACAGCAGTATGCGACTGTGAAGCAGCAAAAGCACATGAAGACGCTCTTGACGCGCTTGGCGACTGACCCGAGCCGCGATTTCGGGCCGACCCTACTGCATTTCAAGAAGCAGCTCGCGAAATGCGACAAGCGCGTCACGGGGGTGTGCGCCGGCGTCGTCACCAAGACAGGTTGTCCACATATTTTCGTGGAGAATGGGCCCAAGACGCCCGTAGACTTTGTCTCGGCGCTCACGACCCACGAGACGCACAAATGGCCGTCCAAGGAGGTGCAAATGCTCGTTCCGCTCTTTGCGGACGGCCCGCACGTTCAGTACCCGACCTTTCTCGCGTACAACTATTGGCGGACATGGACGGTGAGGAATACTGTATAGGATGGTGGAGGACTGCACGGCGACGGCGCCGAATGTGCCGTGTGGCTGTCGCCAGAGCGCACCATCGGCCACGAGCGCACTGGAGAGCCGTCTTCGGCGCTTCCTCGTCGACAAGACGCGCGGTACATCGGGCTACGACACGGCGCTGCATGCCTTCGAATCGGCCGACGCGCTACGGCATCCACAGACCGCTCCGACGGGGCTGCTTCACGAACAAGGTATTATTGAGTTTGCAGTTGAAGTTGACGCCGCGACGATGTAGATTTTTGCACTGTGCTGCGAACCATCGGCACGGGCTTGTCCCCTACGGACCGTGCACATCTCTTGCAGCTACTAGCAACGATTCACGCGCTCACACCAAACGGTGTGCTCTACCGCACGTTCCTTACGTAGCCCACTACTCTGTCTTGGAGAAAATAATGGCATGGAGACGGTGTAGATACCTCACAACCGAACACAACGTGTCGTCCGATGAAGGACATGCCAGAGACGTGCCGTCGCATTTGCGCAATATCTGCGTCGCCACGTACCTCTACGAGTACGCGACGGCCGACGAGCGCACCAACTTTGAAAAAGTGCTCTCGACGCTCTCGTCCCTGCAGGCGCCACGTCATTGCAACGTGATGACCAAGGACACGACCAACAACCTCGTCTTTGCCCTCGGCCCGCTTCTCAAGGTCAAGGTGCAGTTTTTTACCTAGTTTTTCTATATAAACTAGCACGAAAACGCGCGCGGTCGAGTCGCATCGTCGCTCTCGTCCACCTCGGTCTCCGACTGGCTCCGCGACCTATCATAGTCGGCTTCGTTCATACGCCGAGAGATGACGGGGCTAAAGAGCGTCGGAGTCGCCGTCCCGATCGAGAGCCGCGCCATCGCCGCGTTCTCTTCGCTACACGCTGGGCGGTCGCCACCATCTCGCATGGCTTTGCGGGCAGCACGGCGCCAATTGACCTTGTGGAGCGCACGCACAATTAGTACAAATTTGGCGAGTTCGCCGCAGATGCTGCCAAGCCAAAGCCCCGAGAGACCGAGGCCGATGGAAAGGCCGAGGAAATACGACATGGGGAACATGACGCCCCACGAGCCCGAGGCGGTGATGCAAAGGAGCGTCTTGGCCATCGACATGGCCTCGAGGACGCTGGCGAGCACGATATGGAGCCCCGAGAGCCCGACGGCCAAGCCGAAGAGCAGCATGTTGGACGCAATGAGGTCCGCGAGCGCGTCGTCGGGCGTGAAGAACGCAATGATCGGGCGCTGGCAGGCGTAGAAGAGGCCCGCCGAGCCAAACGCCGCGACGCCCCCGAGGACAAATCTACAAAAGTTGGTCGTAAGGAGGGAATGAAAGCAACAAGATCGTAGATACCCCACACGCATGGTGTGCTGCGCTGCGCGCGGATCGTTGGCGCCAAGAAAGTTGGCCACGCGCACTTGGGTCGGGAGGCCAAAGCCCCAGTAGATGCTGTAGACGAGGTTCCAAAGCGTGTACAAGACGCTGTTGGCCGCGAGGTTGAGCGGGCCGAGGGAGCCCGCGACGGCGGTCACGGCCGAGTAGATCCACTCGTCCATCGCGACGTTGAGTGTCATGGTGAACGAGAGCCATAAGAAGCGCTGGACGCGGTCGCGCCGTACGCACGCCCACGTCCACCCAAACCACGTCTCGGTATGGTGCTTGCGGTAGACGCACGCGTAAAGAACGAGCGCGACGGGTTGGAAGACATCCGCGACCAACTGAGCGAGCGGCGACCCGATAAAGCCGAGATCCCAGTGGTAGATGAAGAGGTAGTTGGCGCCAATGCAGAGCACGACGCTCATCGAGCTCACAACGGTGCCGGGCGTCACGATTTCTTGGGCTTGCAGGTATTGTCTACGGTGTATTTGACATGTATGGACATAGCGTACAAAGCGGTATGCGGTACCGTAGCGCGCAGTTGAAGCACTGCGGCCAGACGCTCAGAATCGAGTAGCGCGAAAACTGCGTGGCGAGCGCAAGGACGTTCGGGTCGTCGCTGATGTAGCACAAAATGTAGTCGACGTGGTAGAACGAAATGCACATCGGGATCGAGAGGAGCGAGAGAGAGACGACGCCGAGCTGGAACCAGATACCGACAAGCTCGTAGTTGCGCGCGCCGTACGCCTGGCCACAGAGCTAAACGCAAAGGCGTTATGAGATTCAAGAGAAAGGCCATCGACGCACCGTGCAGAGCGAGACGGAGAAGCCGTAGATGACGGTTTGGAGGCCCGAGACCCAAATGTTGGCGAGCGCGCTGGCCGCGAGCTCGGTCGAGCCCAAGTGGCCCAAGAAGGCGGCGGTGATTGCTGGCAAGAACGTGCGACAGAGCGTCGCGACGCTCACCTTCCACGCCATTTTCGAGATCGCGGCGGCTTCGGTCGCGTGCGTATTCACAAGGCGGCGCACCGAGCTATGGAGCGTGCTCGCCGGCGCCTCGAACGTCGCATAGTCTTCTATCGGGCGGCTTAGAAGGCGCGCATGTACATTGATCGGCGACGGCGGTGGGCTGGCTGCCATGCTGCGCGACTGGAACTGGGGCCATGGCGTGTATCTTGCGCGGATGGCCGTCCCGTTCAAGTACGTATCATTGGCACGTGCGTCGCTTCGAATTTATATACTTGATATTTGTATCTAAACTTCGATATCCGGTAAAGTGCGTATGGGCATGCCACCAATCAACGCGCAGCGTGATTCCCTACCCCTGGCAACAAGGTCCTATCTCCAAGCCCCGCGAACATTCAACGAGCGCAAGGACAACCCCACGACCAGGTAGAGACCCAGTCGAGAAAGCGGAGACCAGCGCAGTCTTGCTCATCGCCCGCGTTTGACCGATGACGCGGTGGACGCTACCATCCGGATATAAAGGTGCGGGGTCGTTGTGCTTCAAGTTGGAGCGTTGTGATTGGCGGCCAATATCCGGAAGATTCCGCAGCCCAAGCAGTTGACGTGCGCACACCACGTCGACTGGCGTGCGCGGAAGAGAAGCTTGCAATGCCACCTCTGCAGCGTCACAAGAGGCGCAAGATCTTATCGTGTCTTAGACCACGCGGCGGTTGCGCAACGAGTCGCTGCGTGGTTGGCCGCCCTCGTTCATCGTGCCGTTTATCGTGTTGCGCATCGCAGGCGGCATGACCGTGACCATCTCGGCTACAAAGAGCCTGTGAGATCTTATGGCGTGCAGTCCTCGTACCTTGCTCGACGCCGCGGAACTGCAGCTGGAGACGGCGGCCGCGGCCACGGGCGTAAATAACACCGATCGTGGCGAGGATCGCAATCGCCGCAATCACCAAGACGACCCAGAGCGTCGGTCCAAACGACGAGCTGATGCTGTTGCCGCCAGTCGTGCTGCGGACCGTCGTGCACCGCGGGCCACCCCAGACCTACGACCGCCATATGAGCGTCCGTCAGGGCCAAATTGCAAGGTATCGGACCGTGGGCGAGAGGCAGACGCAGCGGCCGTTGAGCTTGGTCTTGTCGCACGAGCCCGAGATGACTTGGACGCCACCGGTGGCGCTGAGCGGCAGCGTGCAGTCGTCGTTGGACGTGCAGGACGCGCCGCCGTCAACCATGATGACTGGGTTGTTGAGGTCCTCATAGTTGGCCAGGTTCCTACGCGCGAGCGGTTGGTTTGCGAAACAAAATGACGAGCTCGTACGAAGCAATGTACTCGGCCGTCGGGTGCGAGCGAGGGTCGCACCCGACCGACATGCCCGTGGCGCTTTGCCACACGCGAATGTAGTCGACCTTGAGGTACAGCGGGAACGCGTCGCAGATCTTGTTGATCTTGGCGTCATTGCCCGCGCCACGGCAGGGCTGGCCCGGGTTGGGCGGCGTCGTGCCCCAGCTCGTCGAGAGCGCCGTGTTGAAAATCATGTACATGGGCTCCTCGATCATCATCTTCTTCGGGTTGATCTTCGCCTTGTCCGTGTTGGCCGGGTCTTGCGGCGGGTCGGTGAGCGACGACGCCGAAATCTCAAAGATCGGGTTGCCCTCCACCATCCAGCGCACGTAGCCCGTGGTCCCCATGACCCTACGTCCAAGACTCCGTCCGAGTATCTGGCACATCGGTCCTACCATTCGAGCTGGTACTTGAGAAACGACGTGTACGCGGTCAGCTGGATCGGCCAGTTGGCCGAGATCGCATCGAGCTGGTAGTTGAACGACGGAATCGCATTGCCGTTCGAGTTGCCGCCCCAGAGCGGCTGCCCGCAGCGCGGATCCGTGTTGAACGGGTCGCACAAATACGCACCATTGTAGCTACACTGCGCATGAGCCCACGGCCACCTCTAAATGATGGACAGACCCGTTGATGACGGGCATGCACGTGCCGTCGTCGTTGATGCCCCAGTAGTGCGACCCCTTGTCGTCAACGAGACCGAGGTAGCCGTTGACGTCGTTGGAGGCCGGACACGTGTCGATCGTGCACGCATTTTGCGTGATCCCGGCCGTGAGCGACGCGTTAATGGTGGCGGCCGCCTGTTTCTTGGTCGCCAGCGGTGTGCAGAGCCGGGACGGCGCATACTTGAGCCCTTGGTACCACGTGCGGTAGCCGCGGGTCGTGGCCATGGACGACGGCACGTCCGGGAGGTTGGCGCCCACGGTTTTGCAGGTCTGCGTGTAGATGCAGGCGCCGTTCTCACCGGTCGGCGGCACCACGCGAAACTTAGACGGCATGCCCGGCGAGATCTGGATCGACGACGAAATGTCGCTGCCGCCGCCTTCGAGGATGTCGATTTCGGGCGCGCCGCGGCCTTGGTTGGGGTTGAGGCCAAAGCCCGGGTTCGAGTTGCAGGCCGAGATGGCTTGGTTCTTCCGCGAGTCGTCGTCGCAAACGTCGTAGGACCACGGCCACATGCGCGTCGTCGACGCCGTGAAGAGCGCGCGACCCAAGTTGCCCAACAGCCACACGCCGGGCCACGTCGGGTAATAGAAGCCTAGACAGAGATGAGAAGAGAGAAGTGGTGAGTGCGAGCATACCGCCCGTGACGCGGCCTTTCGGGTCGCTCAAGTCGGGGTTGCCAGACGCGGCCGTGACGACGCCCGGTTGCTGGACGTTGACTTCGATGAAACCACCTTGCATGCAAAACTTGTTCCAGGACTGGAGCATGCCACTGCGGTACCACTACGTAGATGCTGAGCGCGACAAGACGACAAGGCAAGTCGTACCATTTGACTTTGCTGGAACCCCGGCGGGTTCTTGTACATGTTGTACACGGTAAACTTGATGTCGTCGTGCATCGTCTTGATCTGCATGTAGCCACCGGTCGCATCGAGCTGCGTGCTCGTCATGTTGATCGAGTAGTACTCAAGCGCTGCGTTCACGCCGTCGGCGAGCTCCATCGCCGTCCAGAGATGGTCCTTGCCGGCGGAAAAGTCACGTCCCGGGCGGTTGAACTCGTCACTCATGACGAGGTTCCAAGTTTCGCCGCGCGACGTCGTGACCGTGGCGGCGCTCTTGGGCGTGTCGGCGTCGACCCATGTCCCGAGGCCGCTCTTGGCCGGGTACGTCGTATCTGCGCCCATGGCGCCGGTGCTAAGGAGGGCGGCCATGGCCATGGCCGCGAGGTGCGTCGTTGGCCTCATGGTTGTCCGCTTCGAGTGTGGCTGGCAATCGGACCAACCGCCTCAAAATCGAATTGGCGAATATTTCATGAAAATCTTTTTTCGCAGAAATAGTCGGCAATCGACTTCTAACAACTCCTATACCCTTGTTTCAAAGGAGTTTCACTTTGGCATATCTTGTTTTTTGTATGAAAGTGTCATACTTTGGTAACAAGATTGTGCAGTTTGTTTCTAGGGAACATTCAATGGCAAAGCCAGACCCTTGCCTCCGGCTCGCCACGCCTCTTCAAGGAGCTCGCACGGCTCGAGGTCCATCCCGCCATCCAACCGGCTACGAGCAGCAGCGTAGACCGAAGGTTTGGAGGGTCCAGCGTATCGTGACAAAGGTTGGATGCGTCCTCCAGTATCAAGGCAATCCGTCGCTCGTTGCTATCCCGGAGGAGACCACTTGTTTTGAAGGAATCGCCCGTCCGACGAGTTCCATCATTGTCATGCCAGCGCTGCTCGAAGTCGGGTTCTGGTGCAAGGACGAAGCGGACCTGCTAGACGGGCGGCCCCATCCGCGCACGCTCCAGGAACCTGTATGGTTTGCCGCGAACGCGGACCTTGCGGCGTCCGTCGTCGACTACCTTCGGACGCAAGGCTGCGTCGAGTCGTACGAGATGGGCTACAGCTTTTGTCGGCTCGGCGACGCCTGCCCGCCCAAGAGTATGGGCGCGTGCACGATGACCGATGGCGTCTACTGCTGGCCAGAAGGCTATGCGCACTACTTGGACGTGCATTGCGTGCGTCCACCGCAGGACCTTGTTGACCACATCCTCGCCCAGCCGCGGACGTTGCCGCCATCGCGCCTCGATCTCTGGGACCATGCCACCCACCAGCGCATATCGATGCCCCTCGCGATGCAGTCCATGGTGCTTGCCAACACGACGCTGACGGTGCGCGAAGAGACGCCGTCGTGTGCAGTCTCGTAAAAAATGACGTCGTCGTATCGTAGTCTTATTGTCAGTCTTATGTATCTTTAGTGCAAAAGTTTTGGTGCTGTCGCAGCGCGCGCTGCTCCTCAAATGTCTTTTCGCACATGCTGCATGTCCACTTGGCGACCGCAACCGGCTGCAGCGTCGACAGGTGGGCCGTGAGCGCGGTCGCGCTTGGAAACAACTCCATACAAATCGGGCACTGCGCCGCCTCTTTGGTTTCCGTCAACGTCGGCGCGTGGCCGTACCAGTCGGGGCTAATGCGACTGTCCTTGCCGTGCTTGGCGAGAAGATGTTGCTGGAGCGCCTCGGCGTCCTGGAACTCGCGGCCATTGCAGTGCGAGCAGCGAAAATCGTCGGCGTCGGCCTTGCCGCGCTTGCGCTTCTTGATGCACAGCTCGTGCACCATGCGCAAATGTGTCTTTAAGCCCTGAGCGGTGGCAAAGCGCTTGCCGCCACAGGCTGGATCGTCGCAGGCCACGCCGGCATCGCTTGATGGCAATGTCGTCGGCGTCGTCGTCGTTGCCACCGGCGTCGTGCCGTCGCGTCGCCGGCCAAAGCCAAAGATCGTACTTTGCTGTTCGAGCTTCTCACCGTGCAAGAGGATGCGATGGAAACTCTTATCGCTCTGGTGGCGCTTGCGCTGGTAGCCTCTCGGCTCGGTCCACAGCTCATTTTTGCAGCAGACGAGGTCGAGCGCGTCTGCGCGCTTGAGGATCTCCCAGCGCTTGGGCTGGTCACGCGCCAACGTCACAAACACCTATGTACACTCAGCGTGAGGCGCGTATATGGGAGGGTGGTCGTGTACCTTGCCACCCGGTCGAAGCACGCGCAGCGCCGCGTGGAAGAAATGCGAGAGGAGGCGCCGGTGCCGGTGGACGTCTTCGACGCCCGAGTGCGGATGGTTGAAGACAATACGGTCAAAGTGACTGGCCTCGTCGTTTTCAAAGGCTGCGAGGTTCGTCGCGTCGACATCGTGCAGCACGGTCGCCGAGACGGCGGCCGAGCCAGCGCCAAGGGCGTCAAGGTTGCTGCGTACCATGGCATACTTGTCCTCAAGCGCCGAGAGCGAGTCAAAGGTGGACGCCGTGAGCTCTATCGTTGGCGTATCAACGTCCAGGTCACGCCAGTTCTCTGGGTCGAGCAAGCAGCGCGAGTACGAGAGGTCGCCGTCGCCGACGGTCAAGACCCGGCAACCCATCAAGGCCAACAAATGAGCGAACTGCAAGTGCAATCGATGTATTCCGAAATAGTGTTATATGGTCCGACCTGGCACCTTCAAGAGACAACAGCGATAAGAAGGCGCAAAGGTGACTCAAGGCTACGCCTGCGGTGTATCTTGGACATGCAATCGACAGCGCCGAGTCAGCGATGTCATGAAGACTGATGGGCGTCGACTGTTCCAACGCGAGGTCATTCTAGATATCACACTATACATTATACACACTAAAACAAGGTCGCATGGGCTGTATCACAAATAAAATGCTGTCACGGCTCGTGCACCTGCAGCGGCCCGCGCTGGCGGGGCGGGCGACGCTACGTCGCCTCCCACCGCGCGTCCACCAACGCGTCGTCACCCGCCATCATGTCCAAGCGGACGGCAGCGTCGCTGGCCTCGGCTTTGTCGGCCTTGGCCTCGCGGTCACAGCCGTCACGACGTCGAAGATGAGCCTTCTCGACTTTCTCGAAGATAGCGTACATCTCGTCGCGGGCAAGATGCGCCAAGCCGTACGTCCTCGCTTCATGAAACATGCCATACTAATGCATGCTCTACCTCGTAGTATGGCGATGAGAACCGACGCATCCTCGTCCAGCTCCTCGGTGCAAACGCGATGGTGTTTGGGCTCTGGAACGTCTCGCACCGGAGCCCGCGCCTCGCGCGCTTCATGTGGCACCACTTTGCGTGCTCGTACAACGGCGTCGTGCACGAGCGGCGCCTGCACACGCTGCTCACAAGTGCGTTCAGCCACATCACGCTGACGCACTTTGGCATCAACATGTACATGCTCTGGCACTTTGGCTCGGCGATTCTGCCGCCGGTCGACACGCCCGAGAACGGCTACGTGGCCACGCTCACGAACGGCACGTGGTTCGAGTCGGTCTCGAGGCCGTTCGGGTACCACCCGCCGCGCACGCTCACTGCGACCGAGTTTGGCAGCGTATACTTTTCCTCTGCGATTGCGTCGTCCGTGCTCAGCGCCGTCGTGTCGGGTGCCATGGGCTCGCCCCTTCGTACTCTAGCCGTCTCTGGCTATGGCTAAACCATCTATTCTGTCTAGTCTACTCGATCGGTGCCAGCGGAGCGGTCTTCGGTATCCTCACCTCGTACTGCGTGCTGCGCCCCAACCAAGAGGTGCATACCGCCATGCAGTTTGTATGTGACGATATGCGTTGTAGCTCTACTTGTACGGTATGCTGCCCCTCACGGCGTCCGACTTGCTCAAGGTGTCGGTCGGTGTCAACGCGGTCGGCTCGATCTTGCAGCATGCCAAGCAGGCGGTGATCGCGCCGGGCATTGATTTTGTCGGCCACCTCGGCGGCCAAGGCACGGCCTATGTGCTCACACTCAAGTAGTCGTCACGGAAGACCAAGTAGCCGAGCAATGGGTGGTGATCTATTAAACTTGGTCGGATATCCTACTGCGCTCCTTCTTACATGATGCACGCCTGCTTGAAGACCTTGACGGGCACGTTCTTGGTCATAAGGCGCAAGAACGAGACCTCCGTGGGCGTCAAGTCCTCTACACAACGCATCGTGAGACAATGACACGAGTATAAAAGTATACTCTTCCAAAAGTTGATGCTGCGGAGGTACGCGATGAGCTGGTCGAGCTCTTCGTGCGAGTACGGGTGCATGACCTTGCGCAGGCGTTTGCAGTCGACCTGGTGTGTAAACTTGAAGGCCGACGGAAAGTTCTTGGTCGTCGCCGCGACAAAGAGCCCGTTCGCGAGCGACCGGTCCTCGCGGTGGCCCGTCTCGTCGACGTCGGCGAGCGCGTGGATGAACGAGATGTCGCGCGGCGCCACGTTGTGGCCTTCGTAGCCAAAGACCGTCTTTTCGAAAAGCGTGTTGTACTCGTCGATCGCGATGAGCACCGGGAACTTGGTCACCTTGGCGAGCTCGGCGCGGAGGTCGACGAGCGCGGCGCACGAGAGCAAGTCGTCCTTCAAGCCGTTCTCGGCCATGTCGAGCAGCGTGAGCGACGCCTTGTCGTACTCGGACGTGCTCTTCGGCTTCTTCTCAAACGTGTGCGGGTAGTACTTGTCACCATAGTCGGCCGAGAGCGAGAGCTCGGCGAGCTGGTGGCCGTGGCTCTGGATGAGCTGCTTGAGCACGTCCATGGCCACGACATCAATGTCGTACTTGCCCTGGATGTGCGCCGACTTGGTCACGTACGGCGCGTCGTAGCACCACGCGCGGACGTGGGGCGCAAAGAGCACGATCCAGCCGTTCTCGCGGGCAAAGTTGACGATCTGGAGCAAAGCCACGCTACGGAGGCTTAGCACACGCGCGTCGCTCGACGGTAGATGTACCTCTTGCCCGTGCCACGCTCGCCGTCAAGGACAAAGGCCTTCTCGGGCCAGTGGGCCGGCCAGTTGTTGGGAAAGTCTAGGATCGCCCATGGCGTGAGCCGTGCATTCCTGCAACGCGTGCGGGCGTCGTACCCTTCATGACCGAGAGGATGTCCAAGGTCGGCTTGCGGAGCATAAACTGCTTCTGCGGCTCCGTGAGCTCGAAATACTCCTTGATGCGCTTGGGCATGCTACAAGCGCGATCATGGAGCTCGTCCATCAGAATGTGCTGCACTCGTACCCTTCGGGAAAGTTGTTCTTGATCTGGGCATCCGAGAGCTCAAAAAACTTGAGCAAGTCCTCCTTCTCGACCTACATATATGCATGCATGAGCGCTGGCGAGCGCAGCGTCGCCAAACCTGCGAGATCGGGTGGGCCGCCGAGATGGCCTTGACGCCGGCGGGGGCGGCCTCGGTCGCTTCCGCAGCCACGGGCGCCTCCGTCGAGAAGGCCGCCAAGCGCGAGGCCTGGACGAAGCGCAGGCGCGACGCGCGGGGAATCAATTTCGCTGCCGTCGAGAGCATGATGGACCAAGAGCTAAACTCGACCAACCAAACGCCCAGCCCAGTCCATCCGGACGGGATCCGGATACACGTTAGCCATCCGGCGTCCGGTTGTCGTATTGGTGGCGTTCGTTTAGTCATACACTATTCGTCTTTTTGGAATGCATCATTGCGCAGAAGGTCTGCGATCGCAGCGTATTTCGACGGTAACAAGACGCCGCACCGCGACTGCATCGGTTGTCGGTGTATCGAGGTGATGTGCGCCGATACGATTCCAGGCCATTCCAGGCGGTTGTTTCGAGTGAAAGCAAGCGAAGTCGGGCTGTCGATAACACTAAATACAGTCGTACTTAACAAGAATATATCGTACTTAGCAGGTCTGCCCGTTGTTGCAAATCGGTGGATCTTTGCCGCCATGCCACGCTGCCGGCCACGAGGCTGTGCATGCTGCAGTACCTTACCGTGCAGAAACACGCAAGATGATTACGAGTTTAAGCTGTTGTGTGGAGGTGCACGGGCGTGGCTGTGGGCAGAGCCGGGCGGTCGCCACGGTCCTCGACCAAGTAGTACTGGGTCGCACCAGCGTCTTCGTAGATGCGCTGGACGAGCAGCGCATAGCGAGAGTCGTCGCATGCTTTGGCCGTGAGTATACGCACGCACGGGTCAAACTGCAGCGCGGCGGTGGCCATAATGGCATTCGAGGCGACAGACGCGGCCTTGGCAAGGTCGTCGGCGTTGGCGAGCGACATGAGACGCCAGCCCGAGCTGCAGGAAGGCAGCTTGATAGAGTGCCAGAGCGCGTCGTCGTGGGCAGCGCGGCGGCACACCGTGTCGAGCTTGAGGCCAAAGGGCATGAACGCCAGTGGCAGGAGTCCGTTGTCGCAGTGCAGGCCCGCTGCGCACGAGCCGGCCGTGCCGCACCAGCCACCGCACGCCTGGCCTTCCAAGCGGTTCGTCGGCGCCTTCGAGACGAGCTTTGGGTCGCACTCGTACGCGGCGACGATGGCCGCCGAGAGCACAAACGTGGCAGGGCCATAGCGCACCATACTTCGAATGGGAGGAATATCTCTCTCTGTTGGAGTCCATGTCGCATGAAAATATCGATTTTGGGGGGTTGTCGCATCGACACGAACAATCGATGCAGGCGGTCGTGCGACGACTGCGCCGCCCGAGTGGCCTCCGTCGCCTCTGCAGCCAGCATGCGGCGCCGCCCAAGGACAGCGCCAAGTTTGACGCGCAGGCGCTCATCTCGCGCCACAAGGCGTCCTTTGTACGTCATCGCCTCTTGCTTTTGCCATGGCTCATGGACTGGAATGCTACAGAACAAATGGGGCTTGGTCACGATCGGGCTCGGCGGGCTCTGCCTCGTTGCGTTCGCACCAGAGCTCAAGAACAGCATGAGCAAGACGACGGCTGAGGTTGCGAGCGAGACGCTCCAGAACGAGATGCTCCAGATTCAAACCCAAGTATGTACCCATCCGCCTGCCCATCGCTATTCGCTGCATCTCGCTTGCATAGGAACTCGCCTCGCAGATCGTCCAGACGGTGCTCAACGACCCCAAGGTGCTGCATCAAGCGTCGCAGTTTATCAAAAATGTACGCCAACGCGAAAAGATATGGCACTGGAGATGCGCTGTGGTAGCTCTCGGAGACGGAGACGACGCAGAAAGCGCTCGTCGTCCTCACAAGCAACGTCTTGAACAACCCGCAGACAATGGCGCAAGTCACAAAGCTCTCCAAGCAGCTGCTGCTCAACCTCATGCAGGTACAGCATTGGATCCTCGGTAGAGCACCCAACGAACATGGTGCAGGACCCAGGGACCATGCGTCAGTTTGTCAACTTGATCAAGAATGCCATCATCGACCCCGCGACGCGCGAGAGTGTCATCTCGCTTCTCGAGACGCTCATGCAAGACGAGCGCACGAAGGAGCGCTTGACCAAGCTCGTGGCGCACACGTTTGTGCAGGAGCCGGTCAAGCGCAGCGTGACGAGCACGATCACGTCTTCGCTCCACGGCGTCATGAGCAACCCCGACATCCAAGTACGAGCACGCATAATGAACGTCCTCAAACTGCGCTTGTCGTAGGACCACGCCAAGCAGTTCATTGGCGGCGTCGTCCGCGACGAGACGGTGCAGTCACAGAGCGGCGACGCGCTTTGGAACACGATGACGTACGTCTTGACGCCGCGATGGGTCTCGTGGTTCTGGCACGGCGAAGACGGTGCGACGCCATCGAGCGACACGACGCCGGCGACCCACGAGCCGCACCTCAAGTCGTAACAATGCCCCGGGATGGTCCTCGCAGTCTTGAAGACAGACATCAATGCGCCCAAAGAAACGAGTTAAAGCGTCCTCCTCTGTCCTACTTGATCTCTGCCGTGTCCTACGCTTGACGACGGCGTGTGCTACTCCTGCCCCATGTCCCGTGGGAGCGGGCCCTCGATGGGAGGACGCCTGTTGGTCGCGAGCCGCCCAGTTGAATCTGGGCAAGCAGCAGGCCTGCGCGTTCCACAGCCTCATTATTCGACTTGGGTGACCGCAGCTCAAAGGACCCAAGAGGTCGCCACCCAAGCGCACGACCGTTCGCTTTAGGGTAGGGACGTGTTGACTTGGTATGCTACTTGCTCGAGGAAGCGTCTCATGGAAGCAACCAGTCCGTCGAGCATGGGAGCACCCAAGCTTATCCCCACCCAGCGTTGCCACGTACTAGAACCCAGAAGGTATAGAAAGGTGGCGTTCAAGTTTCTATGTCTGAGTATTGGCATGTCGACGGAAATACGCGGCTGAGAGGCGGCGACGGCGTGCGCAGTAATGGTCGTCCGCATCCTCCTCCGTGGTCGTCTCGTGTAGAGAGCCGCCGCCGACACCCAGTTGGCTGAGCGCAACCATGGGTCAATATGGCGCAACCCATTCCCTTGCTGCAAGTCCACGACAAGATCACCCTTGCGACAAGTCGCGCGCGTCCATGAGAAGCACCTAAAAAAACACGCTCATCCTCGACGACGACGACATTGCTACATTGCCTCATTTGCAACATGGCCGACAAGCTCGCAACACCGTTTGAGCACCGCGACCCGTCCAGCACGGTCAACGAAGACGCGTACGTTGCGATTCGCAAGTCGCCCAAGGACGATGGAACTGGCCTCAACGAACCCCGTGCGAGTACATCATGGCGCGCGTCCCGCCGCAGCACGTCGCGTGTCCGCCTCAGTCGTCTCGAGAGCATGATGCACGAAGAGCACGCCGCGGCCTTGATCCCGATGCCGATTCTGTACGTGACGATCGCGGTCGCGCTCATGGGGTCGTTCCAATTCGGCTGGCTCCTCTCGCAGCTCAACTACCGTCCGTTCAACGTCGACTGCGCGAAGAACCCGATCCCGGACAAGGCGTGCATCATGTTTCCCGGCCACTCGGGCAACGAGTGGACGATGGCCGTCACGGCGTGGATCGTCGGTGGTGCGATCGGCGCCATGACCAGCGGGTACCCCGCCGACAAGTTTGGTCGCCAGCGCACGCTCTTTTTGATTGCCATCACGATGATCATCGGTGGTGTCCTCGAGACGGTCTCGAGCGAGATCTACCTCTTCTCGTTTGGCCGCGTCGTCTCGGGTATCGCGTCCGGCGCCGCCATCAACGTCTCCAACGTGCTCATTTCCGAGATCTCGCCCACGCAGATGCGCGGCATGTTCTCGACCGGGCTTCAGGTCGGCGTCGCGTTCGGGTCGTTGGCCGTGACCACGGTCCACTACTTTGTCGGGTACGGCAGCGGCTGGCGCATCCTTGTCGGGTTCCCGATCGTGCTGGGCATTGCGCAGATCCTCCTGATCCCGCTCACGACGAAAAGCCCGGTGTGGCTCGTCACGCACGGCCAGAACGACTTGGCGCTCAAGGAGCTCAAGCGCTTGTATCGCCCGTGCAACACGGAGGCGATTTTGAACGCGATGATTGCGGCCCACGAAGAAGAAGTCAAGGAGACCGAGGGCGTCAACGCGTGGGCGGCGCTCTTCTCCAAAAAATACCGCAAGCAGCTCATCATTGGCATGGTGCTCTGCTCGGCGCAGCAGCTCTGCGGTATCAACGCCGTCATGTACTACTCGTCGTCCATCTTCTTCAGCGCCGGCGTGACCGACCCGCGCGTCGGCAACACGATCGTCAACGTCGTGCGCACGACCATGATCTTGGTGGCCGCGCGCATCATGGACAAGTTCAAGCGCCGCACTTTGCTGCTCAGCTTCATGACGCTCATGGCGATCGCGTCCGTGGGCATCATCATCTCGCTCTTGGTGTCGAGTCCGATCCTCTCGGTGCTCGCGACCGGTCTCTACGTCGGCGCGTTCTGTCTCTCAATCGGCCCGATGGCGTGGATGGTCACGGGCGAAATCTTCCCCGACTTTCTTCACGCCAACTCGGGCGCGATTGGCACCATGTGCACGTGGGTCGGCAACTTCCTCGTCGGCGTCTTCTACCCGACGATCTCCAAGGACAACAGCCTCGGCAACTACGCGTTCTTCATCTTCGTCGCCTTCCTCATCGCGTACGTCATCTTTATCTACTTCGTCGTGCCCGAGACGGCGCACAAGACGTTCGACGAGATCCAAAAGGAGTTTGACATCGAGCCGACGCACAAGGACGTCGACGACGAAGAGGCGCCCAAGCAAGACCCGTGGGCCTCGTAAGCTGTGCTTGCTAGAATATGTTATCAACACGACTCTACCTATTTCCAAGAGTGACGTGTCAAGGGATATATATTTTACGGCTGTTAGATATCTTAGGTTGGACGTTCTTCGTCCAAATAGCCATATTGTAAAATGTGCGTATGGACGCTATTCGTCCATAACGCAGTGTGGAGGCTCGGGCTGATGGATCGGACTCGATGGAATCTTGGCTCACGAGTCGTCGGCAAGGCGTTCGTAGAAGAGGACGTAGGCGCGCTGGGCAAAGACGGTGCGAGCCGACACGACCGAGACAAGGGCGTCGTTCATACAAAGCCAGTCGTTGGACCGGCGCACGTACGCGACGTAGTGGCCGCCGAAGACCGAGGTACCGCGGTGACCGACCAGACCCACAAGGCGGTAGGTACTTGCACCCAGCGCCAACATCTCGTTTACGACCACACGACGGGCGTCCTGCACGTTGTAGTTGGTTGCGCTGAGCGTGAGGACGAGCACGGGCGGCGCGAGGAGGATCGTCCAGTGCTGCTTGGACGTGCCAAAGATGTGGCAGTTGTCGCATGTCCGCGTGAGTGTCTTCGTTGCGAACGAGGCGAGACCAGCAGCGACCGACGTCGTCTCTTCAGCGATCGAAATGTCCCGGTAGGCATCCGACGTCTCGGACTGTAGGCCGCAGTGGGGACAGGTACTTGTCGCTGTCCAGTACGAGCCGAACACATCCTCGGGAATCGTTGAAGCGACCTCAAGATCCGAGACGAGCCACGCGAGGTAGTCGCTCGCATCTTGCTGCGTCGAAGCCGAATGGAAATGCGGCACCAAAGCTTCTTGGTCGCTGCGGTACGAAGCAGCGTCGTTTGCCAGGATACCAGAGACCACGCGTGTGAGAGCATTGACCGTGCTAGACTCGCTTTGCTGTGACAGCAGCGCGTCGACCAGTGGCGGCGCGTGCGCGAGGCACTGCAAGGTGGCATTCATGTAGCACGTGTTGCCGAGGTTGGCGAGGCCTGCGTGGCTCGCATCGAGTTGTACCGGCGACCGTGATACCGTGGACAAAGGCGTTGGGGCAGCCTTGGTCGTGGCTGCTCCGTCGTGTGGCTCATTCTCGGCGGCAACCTTTGGGATGAGTGGAGCGGCCGTTGGGGTCATTGTTGCCGGAGCAGTGTGGACTACATTGTCTTCACTGGGCGAGGCCAGTGGCTCGGCGTCCAGAGCGATGGGAATCGCAGCCGCCGGTGGCATCATCGTATCGATGGGAGCCGATGCGCAGAGCAAGGCAGCTTCGAGATGCTGCACCTTGCTTGCATACTCGGCCAAAGCGACGTGTGCGGCCCGGAGCTCTTCTTGGAGACGACGATTCTCGTCTTCAAGCGCAACAATCACCGGCTGGCAGCTGCACGCGAGGACGGGTGTCTCCGTGGTCGCCACCGCAGCAAGCGGTTCGTGTGTTGGCGCCACGGGCCGAGATACCACCAGCGACGAGCGCGCAGGTCGGATGGGTGCTGGCGAAGGCGAAGACGACGGCTTGGTCGCGCTGGTCGTAGCAGGTGCGAGGACCTTGGGTTCGCGTGGTGCTGGACGAGACACTGGCTTGGACAGAAGCGTTGGCTTGACCGGACGTGTCGACTTGATCGATGGCGCCGGCTTGACGGTTGTACACTTTGTAGCAACCGGCGCTGTCGTTGGTTTGGCAGGAACACGCTTCGTGACGGGGGCACGCGTGGGCGTCGCGAGAGCAACCTTGGCCTTGCGGCGCATCTCGGCGCGGTGGAGATGCGGGAATTCGGCTTGGAACTTGGCGTCGGCGGCCGCGGCGCGCGCGGCGGCGACGTCCTGGAGGTGGTTGGCGTTGAAGCGGTGCATGGTGTTGATATCGGTGGTAGTACTCGTCAAAGTGAAAGTGACTGCGATTCAAACTTGCACGCTTGCCGCACAAAGGCGCATTGCTCGCAAGCTTTTACTGCGCCCCTGTCGCTTTCATAAGACGTTTTTACCAAGTTGAACATCGATCGTATTGTGTCTGCACGGGGCTATGCATGGACCGCAAACGCTCACAGGGTGCGGGTATCCCATTGATGCATAAAATGCTATGGGCTGCTCAAAGTATTACCTCGAAGAAACAGAAAATGTACGACTGGGATAAGCTAGCAATGCTATCGAACGCTCAGGTGCCCTGTGTGCAAAATCGGATTGCTCGATGTTCAACTTGGTAAAAACGTCTTATGAAAGCGACAGGGGCGCAGTAAAAGCTTGCGAGCAATGCGCCTTTGTGCGGCAAGCGTGCAAGTTTGAAGCGCAGTCACTTTCACTTTGACGAGTACTACCACCGATATCAACACCATGCACCGCTTCAACGCCAACCACCTCCAGGACGTCGCCGCCGCGCGCGCCGCGGCCGCCGACGCCAAGTTCCAAGCCGAATTCCCGCATCTCCACCGCGCCGAGATGCGCCGCAAGGCCAAGGTTGCTCTCGCGACGCCCACGCGTGCCCCCGTCACGAAGCGTGTTCCTGCCAAACCAACGACAGCGCCGGTTGCTACAAAGCATACAACCGTCAAGCCGACGCCATCGATCAAATCGACACGTCCGGTCAAGCCAACGCTTCTGTCCAAGCCAGTGTCTCGTCCAGCACCACGCAAACCCAAGGTCCTCGCACCTGCTACGACCAGCGCGACCAAGCCGTCGTCTTCGCCTTCGCCAGCACCCATCCGACCTGCGCGCTCGTCACTGGTGGTATCTCGGCCCGTGGCGCCAACACACGAACCGCTTGCTGCGGTGGCGACCACGGAGACACCCGTCCTCGCGTGCAGCTGCCAGCCGGTGATTGTTGCGCTTGAAGACGAGAATCGTCGTCTCCAAGAAGAGCTCCGGGCCGCACACGTCGCTTTGGCCGAGTATGCAAGCAAGGTACAACATCTCGAAGCTGCCTTGCTCTGCGCATCGGCTCCCATCGATACGATGATGCCACCGGCGGCTGCGATTCCCATCGCTCTGGACGCCGAGCCACTGGCCTCGCCCAGTGAAGACAATGCAGTCGACACTGCTCCGGCAACAATGACCCCAACGGCCGCTCCACTCATCCCAAAGGTTGCCGCCGAGAATGAGCCACACGACGGAGCAGCCACGACCAAGGCTGCCCCAACGCCTTTGTCCACGGTATCACGGTCGCCGATACAACTCGATGCGAGCCACGCAGGCCTCGCCAACCTCGGCAACACGTGCTACATGAATGCCACCTTGCAGTGCCTCGCGCACGCGCCGCCACTGGTCGACGCGCTGCTGTCACAGCAAAGCGAGTCCACCACGGTCAATGCTCTCACACGCGTGGTCTCTGGCATCCTGGCAAACGACGCTGCTTCGTACCGCAGCGACCAAGAAGCTTTGGTGCCGCATTTCCATTCGGCTTCGACGCAGCAAGATGCGAGCGACTACCTCGCGTGGCTCGTCTCGGATCTTGAGGTCACTTCAACAATCCCCGAGGATGTGTTCGGCTCGTACTGGACAGCGACAAGTACCTGTCCCCACTGCGGCCTACAGTCCGAGACGTCGGATGCCTACCGGGACATTTCGATCGCTGAAGAGACGACGTCGGTCGCTGCTGGTCTCGCCTCGTTCGCAACGAAGACACTCACGCGGACATGCGACAACTGCCACATCTTTGGCACGTCCAAGCAGCACTGGACGATCCTCCTCGCGCCGCCCGTGCTCGTCCTCACGCTCAGCGCAACCAACTACAACGTACAGGACGCCCGTCGTGTGGTCGTAAACGAGATGTTGGCGCTGGGTGCAAGTACCTACCGCCTTGTGGGTCTGGTCGGTCACCGCGGTACCTCGGTCTTCGGTGGCCACTACGTCGCGTACGTGCGCCGGTCCAACGACTGGCTTTGTATGAACGACGCCCTTGTCTCGGTCGTGTCGGCTCGCACCGTCTTTGCCCAGCGCGCCTACGTCCTCTTCTACGAACGCCTTGCCGACGACTCGTGAGCCAAGATTCCATCGAGTCCGATCCATCAGCCCGAGCCTCCACACTGCGTTATGGACGAATAGCGTCCATACGCACATTTTACAATATGGCTATTTGGACGAAGAACGTCCAACCTAAGATATCTAACAGCCGCAAAATAGATATCCCTCGACACATCACTCTTGGAAATAGGTAGAGTCGTGTTGATAACATATTCTAGCAAGCACAGCTTACGAGGCCCACGGGTCTTGCTTGGGCGCCTCTTCGTCGTCGACGTCCTTGTGCGTCGGCTCGATGTCAAACTCCTTTTGGATCTCGTCGAACGTCTTGTGCGCCGTCTCGGGCACGACAAAGTAGATAAAGATAACGTACGCGATGAGGAAGGCGACGAAGATGAAGAACGCGTAGTTGCCGAGGCTGTTGTCCTTGGAAATCGTCGGGTAGAAGACGCCGACGAGGAAGTTGCCGACCCACGTGCACATCGTGCCAATCGCGCCCGAGTTGGCGTGAAGAAAGTCGGGGAAGATTTCGCCCGTGACCATCCACGCCATCGGGCCGATCGAGAGACAGAACGCGCCGACGTAGAGACCGGTCGCGAGCACCGAGAGGATCGGACTCGACACCAAGAGCGAGATGATGATGCCCACGGACGCGATCGCCATGAGCGTCATGAAGCTGAGCAGCAAAGTGCGGCGCTTGAACTTGTCCATGATGCGCGCGGCCACCAAGATCATGGTCGTGCGCACGACGTTGACGATCGTGTTGCCGACGCGCGGGTCGGTCACGCCGGCGCTGAAGAAGATGGACGACGAGTAGTACATGACGGCGTTGATACCGCAGAGCTGCTGCGCCGAGCAGAGCACCATGCCAATGATGAGCTGCTTGCGATACTTCTTCGAGAAGAGCGCCGCCCACGCGTTGACACCCTCGGTCTCCTTGACTTCTTCTTCGTGGGCCGCAATCATCGCGTTCAAAATCGCCTCCGTGTTGCACGGCCGATACAAGCGCTTGAGCTCCTTGAGCGCCAAGTCGTTCTGGCCGTGCGTGACGAGCCACACCGGGCTTTTCGTCGT